GTTGATTCAATAACTGATGATTTATTGACGTCTCTGAACTTGAACGCTTATTTATTATGTTTGTCTATTTCTCAGACTTCATCTTGAATATAATCTGAAAGACAAACCTCAATGTGACCAGTATACGGCTTGAGAAACTTGATGAACATTGCCCCGAGGCTAATATCTTGCCTAAGGAAGGAGAAACCCTTTTTACTGAACAAAGAGACAAATCGAACATTGAACTGTGTACACCAGCCTTGGTTTCGATGCATGATCATTGCTACATAGCAGTATGACGTAAGGAATGCCTCTCTTCTCTTGCAGGCGCGGGTTACCTCCACAGATGTGGAGATTAGGAATGGAGGTTTTCCCTCCTTAGCAAGCTGACTGAGAAAAGACTTCAGCCGACGATTAACTTCAGCATGCTTCCAGCGTGGGACATCCACCAGGAGGCCAATATTTCGCATGGAGGATGAAAGAAAGAGGCAGACCTGCATTCAAGATGAATATTTTCTGCTACGGATGCATGACAGCAAAACCGTTGAAAAGTCGCGAATACGGTGGATATCACAAACCAGAGATTTTCTATTTATGCAAGGGCGATGAACTCAGCAAACGCAATTACATAATCAGCCAAACTTCAGGGAAGAGTTTCGTAGAATTGGCTTGGCATGATAACAAAATAAGAAGATGTTTTGTTATGAACATACAGACAAATCGGTCAACTTCGCTACCTACAACAAAGTTTTGCAAGTCATAATTAATATGCAGACCAATCATTTTCATAAAATGAACATAGCATGCAATTACACAAATTCGATATTGATAATAAATGTGTAACTCGGCTTCGATCAGGTCTGAAAACTCTCATGGCAAAACGAGTTCACTTGCGTGAGCTCGGCATTCGACTGAGTTAACAGTTGAAAGGCGCTAACGGTAACTCAAACTATGCATGTCAACGGACAAAACTGCAATGCCCCGCCGCGAGGATGCCTAATATAGGTATAGTTTGCTGATGAATCGGAAAATCAAGCTGCAAACTTGCTAGGACGAATATTGGAGTAGACTGTCCTTATTCAGCCCAAAACTTTTTATGAGACATCGAGTTATCTATCGCAAAAATAAATGACTTCAATGGATGAGGCACAATAATCGATTAATCATCCATCTTGTCACCAAGTTTTACAGATTTTACCACGGACCAATGAAATTTTGGAGCAAGTGTGTAAAACAGCTATTGAAAGTTAAACGGTTACTGACTACAAGCAAGTAACCGTTTAACTTGAATTTTATGTACTCAATAAATGCATAACGCCAGGGAAGGTACTGAGCCATGATTTGTTGGTCTCACTTTTACTCTGGTAGTAGTAGTGCATCGTGAGAATGTTGTTGATAAATTAACATGATTAATTCGGTTCTTCGTAAGCTTCCAGCGTACAATGCTGGAAAGGTATGAAAACGGATGATCGTCTGTGCAGCCATCGAATCGACCTCAACCAAGAGTTCGTGCCAAATGCAGGACAGTGCCGCCATCAGTCTGATACAGACTCCGGCAGAAACAACGAACTGGCAAAAGCGAATGGAAACTTCTACACGAATGGGACTCGTGCCGATCGATCCAAGGTCACTGGGGACGGAGAAGAAGGGGGGACGCTGTCGACGCGTTCGTACAAAAAAAATAACCAGATTCGACAAAGGGCGTAAAACAGGAGGTCTAGAAGTTAAAATGAGAAACCAGCTGTGGTTGGGTGTGCTGCATCTGCCACCGTCGAGTCGACGAACCGCCGTCTGAAATTGAAGCACTGTTTCCCGCTGCGCGACAACGGTGACGCATGGTTGGTCGGTTGTCGTTTGACCCACATTGAGTCACGGAACCGATAGCACGCGACGGCGACAAGCGTAACAAACGCTACGGTTTGCGATTCGACGTGACGAGGAGGACGATCGTTCAACGACAGACCTACCAGTGAGAAAGTTGAGGTTTGCGGAGGCACGCGGCGCAAAGTTTGCCTCGATACCTCGGTTCCCACCAAGCAGCACGTGGTTTACGGTAACGGCGCGAAACAGGGGGCAATCTTACGTTGAGGCTTTAACCACGCAACTTGCACTATCCCCTGCTGCCGCGTACAGAGCTTTGTGAAATGACCGGCTTCATTATTGTTGGATATAAAAGGGTAGCCCAATATCACGTGCATTTTGGCTACCCTAGCAATTTTGACGCATAAAAAGCAACTCAAAACTTTCTTCGCCTGTTATACTATTTTGCATGGGAATGATCCAGCTTCTGAGTAAGAGGACAGTCCCAAAGTGACGCCCTGAATATCGTCTATCCCATCGTCGAACCTTCAACTTTGACATTCATCTTGAACACCACGTGTCGTTTGGTTTGTCTCCATAGTTACAGCCCCACTGCCTGCTGATCTTCATATGGCCGCCGTCCAGTACACTGGCTAAAGAGACTTTTCAAGGCCTCAGCAAGGACAAGGCTGTTCAGACGCCTAACGTCACCAGTTTGAGCCTTTGGACGAAAATCCTTTCGATGTTGTTTGTTGTTGTTTACTTAATGATACCATTTATGTTTGTTTCGATGTTGTCATCTTTAGCCCATTCATGAAACTGTAGGCCACTTATAATTTCTAATTATTGAAATTGTCGCCTCCAACATCGAACGCAACACCGCCTTTTCAGCAATAATGACGATTTCTTCCAGGGGACGGAGAGTTTCCACTGAGGACGGAGACTTCTCATCCAGAGGCAGACAAAATAATGAACTTAATCGACAGAGATACACCGAAGTCCGGGATTTTATTGGGAATTCTTCGTCGTGCAATCGGTACGGTTGCAAGGAACGGTGCATTTGGTTACCAATGCAAACTGCCGTCAACGTTCCAGCCCTCTTGCGTGCAAGATTCTCTCTAATTGTGACCATACTCTTGCAATTGTTCCCGCTCTGAAAAAGTCAGGCAGGCCCCCGTTCTCCCTTTTGCCAGAATGTGAAGTTTGTAACCCGTTGCAATGCCTGTCTTCTCTACACTTTCATGATGGACCATTTCAGTCACCCTTTCCTCATCGCGTTAATGGTAAGACGTTGATCTTCATTTCCATGCCATCAGCCAGGAGAGCGATATTTTAGAAGCAAAGTCTAGAGCAGCCTGCAGCGCGTAGTCTGTTGTTTCCTACGCACAGAGTGTCAGTGTTACTCATTTATCAAAAGAACGAGGTATACTCGAATGAGGCTCGATCCTGGTCTCTCGGATCTGAGTCGAACGCTGTACCGATGGAGCGACTCGAGCCGTGTACTGGTGAGGCATACTTCCTCATGTAGCCTCTGGATTTCCGGTGCATCTTGAGGGTGATGGTCAGTGTCAAAATTACCGTATTGCAACCAGCACGGACAGGCAGGATGCGACCAGTGCCACGGTCGAGGTTGAGTTTCGTTTCCGTCAGGAACGTTTCATCGAAGGCTGATGCCCGGCTTCCGTTTCGGATGGCGAACAACTCGGGGCGCATCGTTTTTACGGTTCTAAAATCTTTACAGACTGCCATTAACCATCGCGTCGTTGCAAACTTCATTCACTGCCGCATTTTATTGCCTCATGGGATCTGACGAACAGCTACCAGAACACGTCGCATTTCTGACAACGTGTTTTATTGCTGTGCCGCATACAAAATCAAGATTAAGACGGCTTAACGCGGCGTTAAGTGGCTCGAAGAACAAATTCCTGCAATTACTTAGAAGTACAGTTTCGCGGTCGCTGGACTCGCTGTACGATGTAGGGTTTGACTCCAGAGAAGGGGAACCACGAGGCCAGACATCAAAGTCATGCTTCAGAAACGACTGCCTTTGGAAACAGAAATTTCCGCGGCGCATTTGTACTCGAGATAAAAATATGACCACCGTCGACGCTTCGGTCCGTGACTCTCAGCCCTTCTTACACATAAAAAATTGGCAGCTCTTTAGAGCTGTTTCTTGTCGTTGCTCCAGAGTACAAGAGCGTGGGCGTTGCGGGTGCGTATTTCAGGTGGACCCCAAACGCATGAACAAATGCTCAACCTTATGAAAATTTCGTACTTCGAATTTACACGTCATCACGTACTTTTGTAGGAGTGAAAAAAAGAGTTTTATTCATTGGGATGATCATTGTTTCTCACAATTTTACGGTCTGGCACCATTTGCCACACTGCTGTTTCATAGTACAGGATTAGTCTCTATTTCTGCATTACCAGTTAGAAGCGGAGTCTTGTGGCTCCTATTTCAGGACTACGTATATAACCATGGAACCACCGTCGTGTAGTCACTGGTTTACTTCCAACGGAAAGATATATCTTTAGTGAGTAGATTGCGCGGTTTCCAGTTGAAACTTTAAAATTCGAAAATTATGAAAGAACTATATAGACGATACGACCGTAAAGAGCAGCATTGCTGTCATATGCTGTGGGATGAACAACAGTGCTAACTCAAAATTGGACCTGAAAATTAGTTGCACCACCAGTCTAATAAATCAGTTTCAAAATTCATTTGCCTTTGCGTGAGTTTTCTTCAAAGTCATTAGCTAGATATCATTGAAGGCTTGTCAGCCACGGTACAGGGATTAAA